GACAGGATCTCAGACTCACTGTGTATCCAAGGATCAGGAAATGACCTTAACTTCTGATCCTCCTGCCTCCACCTCCTGGAATGTTGGGATTACAGGCTTCCATCCATCTTTTTATTATTATAGCCATCATAGGGTATGTGAGATGGCGTCTCATGGTGTTTGGATTTGCATTTGTCTGATAACACCACAGTATTGGACATCTTTTTATGGGCTTATGGATCATATACCTATCTTTTTTTTAAGAACAAATTTCTTTGCCTATATTAATATAGGGTTGAGCTTTTGTTGAATTATAAAAGGGTTTTTTGTTTGTTGTGTTGGTTAGTTTTGTTTTTGTTTTTGAGCCAGTGTTTACCCATGTAACCTAAGCTGGCCTGGAACACAGTCATCTTGCATTAGTCTCCCCAGTGCTGGGATTACAGATGTGCCCTGCCATACCCAGGCTCACAAGAGTTATTTATATATTTTAGGAGATAGATCTTCATTAGATATATAATTTGAAAATATTTTGTGGTGTTGTGTGTACTGTCTTTTCAGTTCCTTAATACCATCCTTTGAAGCACTTTTTTTTTTTTTTTTTTTTTGGTCTTTTTGAGACAGGGTCTCCCTGTAGCTCCAGCTGGCCTGGAACTCATTATGTAGACCAGGCTGGCCTTGAACTCACAGAGATCTACCTGCCTCTGCCTCCCAAGTGTAAAGCACCAATTTTTAAATTTTATTCATTATTTTCTTTTTTTAGAAAAATGTTATGTGTAATGTATTGCTTGTATGTAGGTAGGTGTACCCGTGTTGTATAATGCCTGCAGAGGTCAGAAGAGGGGATTGGCTCTCCTGTAACTTGAGTTACAGATGGTTGCTAACCCCCACGTGGGTGCTGGGAATCGAACCCAGGTCTTCTGCAAGAGAGTCAGTGCTCTTAACTGATGAGTCATCTCTCTAGATCAAAAGTTTTAAATTTTGATAAATCCAATTTATTTCTCATTTCTGCTTTCATTGCTATAGCTAAACACGATTGCCTAATTTGAATTCATGATTTCCTCTTATATTTTCTTCTAAGAGTTCTATAATTTGGGTTCCCACATTTAAATCGTCCATCCATTTTTAGTTAGTTTGTATTATGATGTGGGATAGGAGGCATGTAACTGTAAATCCGGCTCAGCATCTCAATAATCACGTAACTTTTAGAAGCTTCTAAAAATACTTTATTTTCGCGGGGCATGGTGCCTTTAACCCCAGCACTCAGGAGGCAGAGGCAGGCGGATCTCTGTGAGTTCAAGGCCAGCCTGGTCTACAAAGCGAGTTCCAGGCCAGCTGGGGCTACAAAACGAAAACAAAACAAACAAAAACGCACACACAAAAAAAACTTTATTTTAGGTTTGTGTGTTTTGCCTCCAAGTGCATGCACGACATGTACGCAGTGCCTGCAGAGGCCAGAAGAGGGCGTTGGATCTCCTGTAACTGGATTTACAGACAGTTCTTAGCCACCACGTGGGTGCTGGGAAGCGAACTTGGCTCCTCTGATAGAGCAGCAAGTGTTCTTAACTGCTGTGCCACTACTCCGGCTCCTTTTAGTAACTTCTTGAACTTGAGTCTCAATTTCCTCTCTTGTAAAGTGAGAACAAACGGTGCCTAAATCTTGGGATTTTAGTAAAGACAGAGAAAATGAATGTAGAGTACTTAGTACAAGGCTTGAAGCATCCAACTGCTCAATAAATGCGGTAGTTATTGTTATAATATGGACAGCGCGTTAATGCTTTCATAGTGGAGGAGCTGGAAAGATGGGCAGCATTCCTGGGAAGGTGACCGGGATAGGAGAGGAGGCTCCAGGAGTCCACCTGAGCAGGTCTGGGGTTGTTAAGAGAGTCTCTGCCCTAGGTAGACCACTACTTCCTGTTCAGTTCTAGGGGTCGGCAAATATTCGAAACCGCATGGACCATTCGGAACGGCTGAAGGGCCGCCAGAGCGCGGCGGTGTCCTAGAACCTGCATTTCTATCAAATTCTCTCCCAGTGCATCAAGCTTGCCCTGCGGCGGTAGTGACCTCTCCAGCAGCGCAGTCCACGGCCTGCCGGGGGAGCCCTGGAGCCAGCAGCGGTCAGGCGGCTGCGCAGAGCCCTCCGGACGCCGGGGGCCTCCGCCCCTCTCAGCTGACAGCTCTAGAAACGGAAGAGGCGGTGCTCAGGTGGAGCCGGTAGTCTCCTGGCCCGGCCGGCAAGCGGCTACGCGGGCCCGGGCGAGGGCGGAGAGCGGAACTTTGGGGCCCAGCACCGCGGGGCGGCCGGAAGGTACGGCGGGGACCGCGCTGTGAGCGCGGGAGGCAGGGCTTGGCGGCCGGGCCGGGCCTGCTTAGGGGGCACCCGGCTCCTCAACCAAGGACCGGCCGCCCGCCCGGCACCCAGGAGGGGCAGGGCGGTGCAGGCCTTGCTCCTTCCGAGCGCCCTGGGTTCCGCTCCCTGGCTTGCTGGTGAGTGGTACAGACGCGTCTGCATGCTGACTGGAAGGCGGCGGGAAGCTGCGGCGCGTGCAGAGTCCCAACCAGCGCTGACCCAGCTCTGGAGCCCGCCGGGAGCGGCCGGAGAGAGTGGGTCGGATTTTCCCGTGCAAAGGAAACCCGGCGGAGGAGGGGCTTCATTCGCTGCTGGAACGGCTTTCGGTTTGCCCCAACTAGTATTAAACTTGAATGATCGCTTATCTGGTGATGCCAGGGTTTATTTTTGTTCCTGGGTTACAGATGAACAGGCCAGGTGTTTTATGCCCAGAGTTATTTCAGGAAAGAGCCTAAGCTGTCATTTTTCTCATTTGTGTCATGGAGATAGAGCTAGGACTCGCTTCAAGTGGTTGTGGAACCTAGCATCAGTGCGTTGAAAGGGCTTAGCACAATGCCTGACACCGGTAAGAACTCCCCAGTTGTTACTATTCGCACTAGTGATACTGTGAAAACGGACACAGCCTCTTGCTCCTAGTAGAATGTGGCAAAGTAGTCACTGAATTCTGTGCCGCCCGACCTCCATTGAAGTGCACATTGCATTTTACTCCAATATAGGTATTATTTTTCAGCGTCCAGGGCACTGCTACATGCTGAGAACGGAACATAGAAAAAAAGACTTGGTCCTCTCACCCTTAGGGAACTAATGCAGCCTAGTAGGAGAGGAAGTGCAAGGCTGGATTTTAAAGAAAAGAGCGTCTAATGGGAAAAACTGCTATGTAATGTGGAGTAGGGACTTTGGGGGTTGATCTGGATAGAATCAGGAAGAAATGGAGGCAAGCAACATGAGTTAAGGGCCACCTGTGTCCAACCCAGTAGCTGAACTGGTGTCAAGTGCCATAGGTCATGAGGAACTGTTAAAGAGAAATGTTACTTGGAGTAAGCGTTATCAGCCCTTAGACACACAGAGTTTTCTGGATTTCTTGGAAAACTATAGAAATGTGCCTGTTTCAGCATCACATATGCTAAAACTGGAATGATACAGAGATTAGTGTGGCCTCTGCACAAAAATGACATGCAAATTCATGAAGTGTTCCATATGTAAATATATATTAAAAGCCAAAAAAAAATATATTGGGGCTGGAGAGCTAGCTCAGTGGTTAGGAACACTGGCTGTTCTTGCAGAAAACCCAGGTTTGAATCCCAGCACCCACATGGCAGCTAATAGCTGTCTGTAACTGGAGTTCCAGGGGATCCAACACCCTCTTCTGCCCTCTGCAAATACTGCACCACACGGGTACACTTACACACACATGCAGGTGTAACACTCATAAAATAAAAATAAAAAAAATTTTAAATATATAAATAAATTACACAAGTTTAATAAATATATTAAAATAGACATTCCATTTATATTTGGGTTGATTGTGGGTATAGGTTGTGGAACTAGGAAGGGAAGTGTGAGAGAGGAAATACAAGTTTTCAGGAAGGAAGGGGAAGGCAAATCAATACATGTGATGGGAAAGCTGAAAAAAAAAACCCCACTAGAAATGGAAGGGTACAAAGGCAGGGGGAGCCAGGCATGGTGGTGCACGCCTTTAGTCCCAGCACTTGGGAGGCAGAAGCAGGTGGATCTCTTGATTTCAAGGCCAGCGTGGTCTACGTAATGAGTTCCAGGCCAACTGGGGCTCCAGGGAGATGCTGCCTCAAAACGACCCCTCCCCCCAAAAAGTACAAAGGCAGGGGGAGGGGAAAAGAGGGGCAGAGGAAGACCAAAACACACAGTATGGATAAAAACGTTGTAATGAAACCTATTTATATTCTAATTTTTACAAAAGATATGGAAAAAAATCCCAAAGTATAGAGGCCTGACTTAATCGTTCTCGAACGTTGTCTGGGTATTGGGATTTTAAAAAGCAGCTCCTCATATAGATTTTGATGTTGTAGACAAGATAGAGGCTGCTAACCTAAATCTACAAAACCAATAAATACATCTCTCATGATCTGTATTTTACAAAGGAACAAAAGGTTTAATCCCATCCTTACCGTGTGCTACTACTACCTGGTAAAGTTGCTGATTAAGTAAGGACCTAGCACCATACACAGCAGTGCTCAATAGATGTAAACTAATTGTAAGTATTAGTTTAGTATTAGCTTATTTGGGAATCACATCTGAGAATATAGTTTAAAATCCAACAGCCTCTTCTGACCTCTGTGGGCATTGCACGACTCAGGTACACTTACCTACATGCAAGCAATACACGCATATACATAAAATAAAAATAATAATTTTTTTAAGTTTAAAAAAATTAATGGTTTCATATATTACTTTTACATATAATTTCAAGGTGTTCTTCACTTTCCGTGACACATCTGTGACCACACTTTCACACACTCAAAATGAACCCCAGTTTAGAGGTTTGGCTCTACCACTCAGCTAGCTACAGCCCTAGTCCTAGAAGTCTGGCTTTAAACATTTAGAATAAATCTTACAAATATATGTGTGTGTGTGTGTGTGTGTGTGTGTATCATATATGTATATGCATGCCCTTGTTTTAAAATGTCTGGTGAGGTGGTTCAGGAGTTAAGCTCTTGCAGAGGACCCAAATTCAGTTCCCAGCACGCACATTGTGTGGCTCACAACTACCTGTAACTCCAGTTCCAAGGGATCCTTGACCCTCTTTTGGCATCCAAGGGCACCTCACAAATTTAGGGAGATGGCAGCAGCAGTCACACATGCTTTTAATCCCAGTACTCCAGCACTCAGGCAGAGGCAGGTAAATTTCAGTGAGATCAACGCTAGACTGGTCTACATAGGGAGTTCCAGAAAGACCCTGTGACTACAGAAAGACCCTGTCTCAAAAAAAAAAAGTTTGCTATCCTAGTCTCAAAGTTAACTGTGTCACTGGCAAGGTTAATCAGATGAGAAAACTGGAGAGGGGTAGGAAGTGAAAGAAGAAGCAGAAGAGGAAAGGAGAAAGCAAAAACAAATTCAAGATGATCTTTGTTGTTGGGTGTGGTTTCCTGTCCTCTTGATTAACCTCAGTTCCCGGGCTGAGGACAGTCTGATAAGGCCTGACATTACTGGAGAACATACAGTTGCCCTATAACCATGTGACTCAGTCTATCCTAGGAGAGTAATATTGTCTGTGAATTAGAGTTGGTATTATGTGCTTGACTTAAGTGGCGATAATAAGATAGAATTTTGCCAGTTTTGCCAGTTATGGTGGGGCACATCTTTACTCTCAGCACTCAGGAGGCAGAGAGATAGGTGGATCTCTGTGAGTTCAGGGCTACATAGTGAGAAACCCTGTCTCAAAAACAAACAAACAAACCCAAAACAAACCCCTAAAATAAAAAAGGTTTTGAAGATTTTGAAAAGAATGGGGAATTTGAATGTGGAGAAGGTCCTCACACAATCTTTCCTATTTCTTTTTTGCAGATGTCAAAATTCCCATAGTCTATCTAATATGAGTCCTACATCTTGGTCTCTTATCCAGCTTCAGTCTCAGCTCCACTGGCTAGAAAGTAAATGGGATTTGCAGAAATTCCAGGCCGAACTGAAATACAGACTGCAGTGTTAAGACCCTTTTCTTCTGGTTGTCATTAGCAGGTATTGACTGACACAAAATGGAGCATGTCGTTGTGCCTCAGATAGGGATGAGCGTAAGGAGAGCAAAGCTGCTGAGGAGAAATAATACTTTTTGAAGATAGAATCATTTACAGGTATGGGGGGATGTAGAAAAAGTGAAAAAGGGCAAGAAAGGAAATGGAATAATTTAAATGGATGTCCTGTAGTGTACCTTTTGTGATGTGTAAAGGTAATGAGCTCACTTTTCTTTCGTTTTTTTGAGACAGGATCTTGTCGATCAAAAGCACAACCCTCATCTCAAAGGAGATAAGAGATAGTTTGTTCTGGAGCCAGTTATGAGTGACTATGGCCCGGGAACACAGATTCAGGTTACCCCAAATTCCATATTCCATCATGAAAGCAGTTTCATGAAATTTTTATAGTAACAGAAGAAAGAAAAGTCATAAATCAAGACGCTTTTCAAATACATTGGTGGAAACATTAAGTAGGCAGATACAGCAAAAGAGAAACCTTAGCTATAGGCCTCAGATGCTATCTGATGGCATTCTTAGCCTTTTGGTTGGTTGGAGCTAGGACTTGGTTAATACATTCCTGAAGGTTTTTTAATCTGTTAATCACAAAATGTTAAGTCAGAAACAGGTGGCCAAGGATTGGCTATTCAGGGGACTACATGTGGTCCAAGATAAACTGTAAGCAGGCTCTGGAATTGCAGCATTTCGAACTCTCCACAGTTGTTGAAATGCTGCTAATCAGTTGCTCAACATTGCAGGAAGCTCAGTACAAGATGCAGAATTTTTCTGGGAACTTTTGTTCACAGTCGCATATAGCCAGGGTGGCCTCTAGCTTGCTGTGTAGTGAAGATGACCTTAACTCTGTCCTCCTCCTTCGCCTCTCAAGCATTACATACCCTAACCTTTCAAATTTGTACATCTCAATTTTTAAAAATGTAGCTGTGAGGGAGCAACTGTAAAGTTTTTCTGTTTTTGTTTTTATTATGCTTTTCCCCCCTGAATTAGTCACAGTAGCTACTGATAAAGGTAGCAGTTAGAAGCATCACAACCACCCTTTGTAAAAAGACTTAGCATTGGGAAAGCCAAACAAATGGCAGGTATGGCTGCTATTTTAATTTAGAGAAGTGTGTATTGATTAGTCCCTTGGAATTTATTAGGAACTTCCCTTTTATGTACCATGAAACTTCCCACAATTCTGTGCATTTTCTTTTAACTGATTTGAATGATTATTTTTAATTTCTCAGAAAATTCAATGTCGTCAGAAGATCAAGAAGCTCAGGACGATGAACTACTGGCCCTGGCGAGTATTTATGATGCAGATGAGTTTAGAAAAGCAGAGTCTGTCCAAGGTGGAGAAACCAGGATTTTTTTGGATTTGCCACAGAATTTCAAGATATTTGTGAGCGGTTAGTTAATAATAATAATCTCTTAACACAGACTTTTCTAAATAAAAATTGTTCTCAATTTCTTGTTATACTCTAGTTGTCATTTGTATTTATAAGCATAAGTGATTATGAATAAATAATGTTATCACAGATTAAATGTATATTTTTGGGAGGTAAACCATTTTCATTTTGATCCTCCTTTTTGACCCCTGAATTGGTATATTATCCCGAGTATTTCATGAATCCTAGTCTTCTGATTAATAGTTTATCAGCACAAGTCATTAGTGATTAAAAAGGGATAACCAAAGAAACAGTACATAGTTCTGAACTTGGGAAGCTTTACAGTACTGTGGTGGTTAATTCTGCTTGGTTTCTAGATTCAGTTACTGGACAGATGTTACAAAGTGTTACTCTGCCACCTTTTGAGGCAGAAAAACAAAACTTTTTGATACATTTGGAAAAGACCTTGGTGCACATTTTCTCAAAATGTTTCTCCTCTAACTTGTGATCATTTGAATGAAATTTTGAGAGTCTTGTGTGCCATGTCATGTCGTCAAGCCTAAGATTATTGTGTTGGCACAAACTTCCCCAACTGTAATTCAGGAGTAGTTGGCATGTGCTTAGTAAGTCATGGTGGTTTAATAGAAATAAACATCTTTTTCTCTAGATTGTGTCTTTAATCATCTACTGTAAGTCAGCAACAAAACATTGTGTATGACTGGGTCATTGGTTAGGAATTATACTGAGAAGTGTGACAAGAACAAGTTGTGTGACTTCATTATACGTTTCATGGCACTTAAATAGATTTTTCAAGGGCTTATAAACTGTTTTTTGTTTTGTTTTGTTTTTAGAAGGTGGAAATTAGGAAATTAACATTAAGGAATAGAAAATGCTTTGGGGGAGGGTTTTTATTCCCTCAACTAAAGCATTAAGGCAGAGCATTGCTCAGTAGTAATGGACACTCAAGCGTTGATCAACTGCTCTTTCTAATTTTTGTTTTTGGTTCAGGCAATTCAAATGAGTGTCTCCAGAATAGTGGCTTTGAACACACCATTTGCTTTCTGCCACCACTTGTGCTGAACTTTGAACTACCACCAGATTATCCATCTTCCTCCCCACCTTCATTCACACTTAGTGGCAAATGGCTGTCACCAACTCAGGTAGACCCAAAACTTAATTTCTCCTATCCATTTTTAGAAACTATCAAAATCATCTCTAATTGAAGACTACCTTGGTGATCTTTAATTCAGTGAATAAAGAACAAATGACTTTAATTTTGTAATTTCTTTCCCACTGGCTTTCATGAATTCTAATGTTAATGAATTGAAAATGCTTGGTGTTTTTAAAAGGGATGGCAGGTCTGGGGATGTGGCTCAGTGGTAGAGTGTTCTACCTCACATGCACAAGGCCCTGGGGAAAAAAATAGACAAGAAGAAAGAAAAGAAAAAAAAGAAATGAATGGCAGTAAATGAAGCTTAAACATTAAGAATCGCAATAGCAATCATTTTTAATCGACTGTATTGTTTCCTGTCTTACTATTTTCTCATTTAATCTGCATTGTAATAGAGACTAGAAGGTCCTCGTTTTCCTTAGATATTGATACTATATTTCTTAGTTTCTTATCCATTCCTTAAATGAAGGATTTAATTGTAATGACAACTGAAAAATTGAGCTATAATAAGCAAATTTCCTTAGTAAATGTAATAAATATTTCTCCCTTTAAAAAATCTGTGTATTAATAATAGATAATTGTCAGTATCATTTAGATGTAAATGCACAGTAATAGAAATATGTGTGACTCTTGTAGATCTTACTAAGATTTGAGACCTAATACTGAAAGCCTTTTCTCTCTGGGCTCTGTATCCTTTTCTAATAACTTCAGCTCCTTTTATTAACATGTAAGAATTTTACATATTTATAGGATAGAGTGTAATGTTTCAAATGCATACAGCATGTATTGATCAAATCAGGATGATTAGCATTTCCATCTTTTTTTTTTTTTTTGTCTTTTTGAGACAGGGTCTCCCTGTAGCCCCAGCTGTCCTGGAACTATGTAGACCAGGCTGGCCTCAAACTCACAGAGATTTGCCTGCCTCTGCCTCCCGAGTGCTGGGACTAAAGGTGTGTGCCACCACGCCCGGCAGCATTTCTATCTCTGTCATTTGTGTTTGGAACCTTCAGGCACTTTTCTTCAAACTCAGTTCTTGATTAAGACATAAATATGACTTGAAGCTAGTATAACGTGTTCAGAGATATGACAGATCAATAGCTACTTTTCTGGCAGTCTTGATGAAGATTGATAAGCTGATGCATATTAAGACAAAAGCTGTCAGTTGCTGATAGCGCATTAGTTTTTCCTTTTAGTCATAAAGTTTTATTTGTTTCTTTTTGGAGATAGGGTCTTGCTGTGTAGCTTAGTCTGGATTGAACCTCATGAATTTTCCTGTCTCAGCTTCCCAAGTGCTAGATTGTAGGTGTGCATCAACCTACTTGGTTTTATCATACAGTTTTCATTTCCCCATCTTTTGCATAAGTTTACCTTTGCAAAATTGAGATTATGGTTTAAAAAGAAAATTAAATTTTAAAAGGGATAATTCATGTAGAATAGAAAAGAATATTGTAGTATCCGTGTCAGAGGCAGCAAATGTAAGACAGCTTATTATTTGCTAAGGCACATCAGGAGTGTTTGACATTTCGATCACTGACAGTTGTTATATTATTTAGATATTTATAATCCCATATTTCCATAGAGTTATTGATATTCTTTATCCATTCATGTGCATGCACACACACATGCACAAAAAAGGGACAGATTAACTTGATGTGTGAGGTACTTTCTAGCATCTTAATGCTGGCTTTGGTGAGCTGCAAGAAGAAGGATTCATTATTTTTTGTTTTATAGCTAAAGGTATAGTAGGATTCTTTTATCAAATAGATGACAATGATTGAGACAGGGTTTCCCTGTAGCCCCAGCTGTCCTGGAACTCACTATGTAGACCAGGCTGGCCTCAAACTCAGAGATCTGCCTGCTTCTGCCTCCCAAGCACTGAGATTAAAGGTGTGTGCCACCATGCCTGGCTTAGATAGATTTTCATACATATAATTGACATTTTAGTTGGTCTCATGTCTCTTGGTTCAATCTTTGTTGTTATACCCTAACTCTATACATTGTGAATTTTGTCTGTTGATCATAAAGTTGACATGGACCTGATATTAACTGAATTGAGATGGGTAGATAGAATTTGGGAAGTAGGTCTAGTTTTTTAGTATTTTTCTGTACTCCCCAGTGTGCCTCTCTCTCTTGCTCTTCCTCTCTGCCACCCCTTCACATTTACGTGCATTTTTATTGCCTCTTTTGAAATGGGCCTAGAAAAGAAAGGAGAAAAGAAAATGGCTTCTTCATAGGACGTGGTGGTTTACACAACACAAGGCTTCTCTTTGAAATATTTATTACATTGTACAGATTTTAGTAGGTAGCTCAAAAGCATAATTCATATAAACATCTTCAAGCAAATGTGAAATGATATTAGTTGTCTAATCTGATTTTTTTCAATAAATGTTAGTTCTTGTGCAGAGTTGTCAGAAGCACTACACAGAGCATGTTCTTTTTTCACATAGTATGTAAATTTTTATAAAATTTGTTTGCCATCCGGAAGGTTTATTTTGGGGTATTTACCTATAAAAGAAAAGGAGCTTACAATTCCTGAGCTCTGTTCACACTTTACATTTCTAATGGAAAATCGTCTTTTGTTTGACTTTCTAATGAAATAGACCACTTTTAAGTGGAAAAGTCAAAATAGTTTAACTTGGATGGCTTACTTTAGAAAGTAAGAGATTTCTTTGTGGCAGCCAAACTGTTGAGGGCTTGTAATGTCACTGTCAGTCTGTTCCCTCTATTGTACAGATTTGATGTAGGTCCAGATTTCTTAGTAAAAAGTATATTGTAAATCTGTTGATTGGGGATTTAGCTCAGTGGTAGAGTGCTTTCCTACCAAGCACAGAGCCCTAGATTCAGGCCCTAGACTGAAGGAGGAAAAAGTATATTGTAAACGTGAAAACAAAGACCCTGAGGTTAAATTTTGATGATGATTTCAGCTGAGTTGGCCCTTTGCTAGGACTGAATGTTAGAATTATTTTTAAAACTTGAATGGGATTTTATTTTTTCCAGATAGGGTCTCCTTGTAGCTCAGCTCGCCTGGAACTCACTATGTAGACCAAGCTAGCCATGAGCTCACAGAGCTTTACCTGCCTCTGGCTCCTAAGTGCTGGGATTAAAGTGTATGCTACCATGCTCTGTGGTATTTTTATTTTTTATTTAAAAATTTGAGGGGCTGGAGAAATGGCTCAGCAGGTAAGAGCACTGGGCTGCTCTTGCAGAGGACCCACATGGTGGGTCCCAGCACCCACATGGTGGATAACAATCATACACTCATACATATAAAATATAAATAATTTTTTTTAAGTTTGAAATTTTTATTTTATGTGTATGAATGTTCTGCCTGCATGTATATAAGTGCAACTATGTTATACAATACCCATGGAAGCCAGAAGAGGGTATCAAAGCCCCTGGAACTGGAGTTAAGGATGGTTGTTAGCCATCATGTGGGTGCTAGAAACTTAGTGCAGGTCCTCTACAAGAGCTGCCAGTGTTCCTAACCACTGAACCATCTCTCCAGACCCCTGAACATTTTTTTGAGACAGGTTCTCACAAAAGCTCAGGCTGGTGTAGTTGAGGATCACCTTGAACTTTTGATCCTCCTGCCTCTTGTTTCCTAAGTACTGACATTACAGGTATGTACTAAGATACCCAAGTTTTAATTTTTTTTTTTTACTTATTTTTTATTATTTTTATTTCATGTCTATGAGTGTATTGCCTTCATGTATGTGAGTGTATCTGTGTCGTGCAATGCTGCGGAGGTCAGAAGAGGGCTTCGGATTCCTCTGGAACTGGAGTTAAGGACAGTTCATAGCCTCCATGTGGGGGCTGGGAATCGAACCTGGGTCCTCTGCAAGAGCAGTCAGTCCTCTTAACCTCTGAGCCATCTCTCCAGCCCCTACTTCTTGTTTTTTGAGACATGGTCTTACTGTGTAGCCCTGGCTGGCCTCAAACTCAGAGATCTACCTGCCTCTGTCTCCTAAGTGCTGGGATTAAAGGTGTGTACTACCACACCTGGCCTATTTCTAATTTGATACATAGTATAAATTTTATGTTTTTATGGGCTATATAGGGTATGTGATGTTATATCTATGTATATTGGTGTACACTGTGTAATATTTAAGATTGGATAACCAAGTACTTTTTTATAATCTGGGTCGCTATATTTGTCTTCTCAAACATTTTATTATTATTATTATTATTTATTTTGTTTTTGGTCTTTTTTGAGACAGGGTCTCCCTGTAGCCCCAGCTGGCCTGGAACTCACTATGTTGACCAGGCTGGCCTTGAACTCAGAGGTCTGCCTGCCTCTGCCTCCTGAGTGCAGGGATTAAAGGTGTGTAGCCTACATTTTATTATTTTTATAGTGAAAATATTCAAAATTCTTTAGGCTTTTTTTCCTTCTAGCTTTTCAAAATATGCAATAGATTTTTTAATGTTTGTTTTAAATTTATTATTTATGTGTATGTATTTTCCTGTGTGTGTTTATGTGTACCACATGTGTGTAGGTGCCCTTAGAGGCCAGGTGTCAGATCCCCTGGAATTGGAGTTACAGGTAGTTGTGAGCCAACTAATGTGGGTACTACGAACCAAAGTCAGTCTTCTGCAAGAGCAGCAAGTGCATTTAACCACTGAGCCATCTCTCCAGTCCTGTTTGTTTTTAGGCAGGGTCTCACGTAGTCTAAGCTGCTTCAAATTCAAATGTAGCTGAGGCTGGCCTTGAACTTGTGATCATCTAGCCTCTCCCTCTGAAATATGGAGATTACAGGCCTGTGCCAACACACTAGTTTCAGCACATTATTGTTACCTAAGTCACCTTGCTGTGTAGGAGGCACATCAGAACTTCTTGTTCCTAGGTAACTAACATCTCATGTATTGATCAGTTTTTCTCCATTTTCTGCCTTCTTCCACTTAGTATATCATTACTCTCAACGTCTGTAAGATGAACTTTCCTCCATTTGCATTTTGGCTTTTTTCTTTCTTTTTTTTAAGGGAGGGTTTCATATAGCCCAGGCTAACATCAAACTCCTGATCCTTCTAGCTCTACCTCTAGGCTGGCCTTGAACTTGCAGTGATCCTTCTCCCTCTGCTTACATTGCCCTTCCATCATACCTTGCTGAGACTGCCTTTTTTACATTCTACATATGAACAAAGTCATGTACTTGTCTTTCTGTGCCTGGCTTATTTCACTTAACATAATGATTTCTAATTCCATCTATGTTGTGCATTACAGGATTCTATTGTTTTTTGTAGATGAATAGTATTCCTTTGTGTACGTGTACCATGTTTTCTTTCTTTTTTTTTTTCAGTCTTTTGAGATAAGGTCTCTCCGCTGGCCTCAAACTTGCTATGTAGACTGGGCTGGCCTCAATCTCACAGAGATCTGCCTGCCTCTGGGACTAAAGGTGTGTGCCACCACATCTGGCCTCCTGTGCTGCATTTTATCCACTCATAATGTTGATGGGCATTTAGGTTGTTTTCATTTCTTGGCAGTAATGAATGGTCCTGCAATCAACAGGGGAATGCATACTGATTGACATAACGATTTCATTTTCTTTGGATACATACCCAGTAGTGGGATTGTAGGATCATATAGTAGTTCTGTTTTTCATTTTTACCTTCCTACCAACTGAGTGCCAGGGTTCTCTTTTCTCTGCACCCTTGCTGGCACTTGTCTTTTTGATGATAGCCATTCATGCTGTGGTGAGGTGGTACCTCGTGTGGTTTGGGTTTTGTATTACCCTGATTAGTGATGCTGAGTGGGTTCTCATGCACTTTGTTTATCTTCTTTTGAGAAATGCCTATTAGGTCTATTGCCCTCCTGTGTGTGTGAGGCGGGCATGGACCCAGGGGTAGTGGTGCTGAGGCTTAAACCCAGGGCCTTGTGCAAGCTGGTAAGCAGTCCACCCGAGTAACAGCTCAGATCTAATTTCATATTTAAATATCAAATTACTTAAAACATGCCTGGTAGTACTAGCCTGTGATCCCAGCTTGTCAGGAGGCTGAGGCAGGAGAATCAAAAGTTCAATGCCTGGGCTTGATAAAATGACTCAGCAGGTAAGGGCACTTGCATGAAGCCTGATGACCTGAGTTTGATCCCTGAACCCACGTGGTATAAGAGAACTGAGTCCTGCATGTTGTCCTCTAACCCAAACATGTATGCTATGGCACGTGCACACTGACGCACATATACACACATACAAACACAAAAGTAAATGTTTAAAAAAAAAAAAAAGCCAGGAGTGTTGGCATATGCCTTTAATCCTAGCACTTAGGAAGTAGAGGCAGGCAGACCTCTGAGGCCAGCTTGTTCTACATAGTTCCAGGCTAGCTGGGGCGAAAGAAAAACCCTATTTCAAAACACAAAAAGCACCAACAGCAAAAAAAAGTTCAAGGCCTCCCTGGGCTATAGAGCAACTTCAAGGCTAACCTGGGCAAACCTAGCAGCAAGGACCTGTCTCAAAAAGTAAGAAGAGTGCTGGGAAATCGAGCTCAGTTATAGAGCATTTGCCTAGCACATGCACATGCAAAGGTCCAATCCCCAGTACTGCCAGAAAGAAAGAAAAGGTCAGATTATTTTGGCATTTTTGCTCCTTTTTGAAATTGGGTATGCTAGACATTCACCCCTTGTTGAGAATACATACCACAAGCATTTTCTCCCATTTAGTGGGTTGGCCTGCATGCTGTTAGTTATTTCTTTGGTGCTACAGAAGCTTTTTAACTTGATAAGAATCTTTAATTTGTTTTGAGTTGATTTTTATAACTGGTGGGGTTGGGAAGTGCATTTAGTTTTATTCTTTTGTGTGTAAATTTCCATTTTTTTCAGCACCATATATTGAAAACACTGTCTTTTCTTGAACTTAAAAAAAATTTATTTATAGGCTGAGCTTGGTGGTATACACCTTTAGTCCCAGCACTTGGGAGGCAAAGGCAGGCGGATCTTCATGAGTTTGAGGCCAGCCTGGTCTACATAGAGAGTTCTAGGCCAGCTGGGGTTACAGGGAGACCCTGTCTCAAAAAGACAAAAAAAAATTTATGTGTATGAGTGTATTGTCCACATGTATGTAAATGCACCCATGTCATGCAGTACCCACAAAGGTCAGAAGAAGGAGTTGTATCCCCTGGAACTGGAGTTACGGACAGTTGTTACCTGCCATGTGGGTGCTAGAATTTGAACCCTGGTCTGCAAGTGCAGCTAGTGGTCTTAACCACTGAGCCATCTCTCCAGTCCTTCTTAGACTTTTTTTTTGTTTATTATTTTTTGTGGGCTTGGTAAACACTTTATCATTGCACTACAGCCCCAGCCCAGAATACTTTTATTTTCATTTTTCTTTTTGTTTCAGCCCTTTTTAAATTCTTAATCTAGGTACTAGAGTATTTAAAATTCCATATGTGCCTCATATGATATTTCTATTGCACAGATTTGTTACAGGAAATATAATTAATCCAAAGAGGAAGGGGAAGAGGGTGTAGAAGAGAAAACAGTTATCAAATCTTACTACCAAGAAACAACTGTCATGAAATTCTTGCAGTGTCTCTACACTGTTCTTTTTCTAATCACTGTTCTAGCATACTTACAAGGAAGGTCTCCTGAAGGAAAAATGGTTCATTTAGAATGATTTCTTTCTCACACATGAGACACAGAACAATACTAAAACAAAGCCCTCCGTCTCAGTAGCTAAGTACTCACCCAGTTCTGAGTCTTACAGAGTTTTGCTATTTCTGTTGTCTTTATGTTCCTTCTAGATTCTGATTTTGTCTTTTACTCTGACTCTTGTTGCTGAACAGTTTAAGAAATGCTTCAGTGAGAATGTTGATACTGTTTTTGTCATACAATTTATTTTGTCTTTTTTTTTTTTTTTAGAGCTGAGGACCGAACCCAGGGCCTTGCGCTTGTTAGGCAAGCACTCTACCACTGAGCTAAATCCCCAACCCCTTGTCATACAATTTATTATAGTAAAAAAAGGTTAGGAAGTATAAGGAAACATAAGTTTTAAAGATCTCTGAGAAGATTGGAAGTTGGTAGGTCATCATCTTTCCAAACTTACAGCATCCTCATGTGCTTTCTTCTAGCTCTCTGCTCTCTGCAAGCACCTAGACAACCTATGGGAAGAGCACCGAGGCAGCGTGGTACTGTTTGCCTGGATGCAGTTTCTAAAGGAAGAGACCCTAGCATACTTGAATATTGTCTCTCCTTTTGAGCTCAAGATGGGGTCTCAGAAAAAAGTACAGAGAAGGACAGCTCAAGCCTCTTCTAACACAGAGATAGATTTTGGAGGAGCTGCTGGATCTGATGTAGACCAAGAGGAAACTGTGGATGAGAGAGCGGTGCAGGATGTAGAGTCATTGTCAAGTCTGATCCAGGAAATCTTGGACTTTGATCAAGCTCAGCAGATGAAATGTTTTAATAGTAAATTGTTCCTGTGCAATATCTGTTTCTGCGAGAAACTGGGTAGTGAATGCATGTACTTCTTGGAGTGCAGACATGTGTACTGCAAAGCCTGTCTGAAGGACTACTTTGAAATCCAGATCAAAGATGGCCAAGTTAAATGCCTCAATTGCCCAGAACCAAAGTGCCCTTCAGTGGCTACTCCTGGTCAGGTAACTTTACTCTGTAGACAGTGGCCTACTAATTCTCTTTCACAAAGAGAGACATCTTGGAAACTTTCTTTTTTTGTTTTTTGAGACAGGGTCTTCCAACCTAGCCCAGACTGAACTCAAATTCATGATTCTACTGCCTCCACTCCTCAAGTGCTGGGATTATAGGTGTACGCCACCACATCTGCAATGGGAATTTTAATTAATTTATTTATTTTGCAAGCCCTGTCGTACTAAGTCATATCCCTAGGCCTTAGGAGCTGCCTTGGTAGGACTCCTGGGATGGACTAAAGCTTTGAAGCTAGTCCATAAGTTGTTTCACTGTCAGGCCAACAAGATGGCTCAGCAGGTAAAGCCTAATGACCTGAGTTTGATCTCTGGGACCCACATGGTAGAAGGAGAGAACTGACTCCTGAAAGTTGTCCTCTGACTTCCACACACTTATAGTGGCATGCCTGCTCCCATATGCATACACATTTAAAATAATAAATGTAATTAAAATTTTCTATGTCTATGAGTGTTTTGCCTGCTTGTATCTAAGTACATTTCTACATGCAATGCCCACAGAACCAAAAGAGGCATCAGGTCCCCTGAAAATGGGAGTTAATGGGTGGTTGTTAGCTGCCATGTGGGTGCTGAGAACCAAATCTGGGTCCTTTGCAAGAGCAGCTCTTAACTATTGAGCCATCTTTCCAACCCTAAAATGTAATTTTAAAAACATGTTAAAAAAAAAGTTGAGTCACTGTATCCAGGAAGAATGCTGTAAACTAGGTGTAGGGCACACTGTAATTCCAATACTCCAGATATAAAGGCAAGAAGACTAGGAGTTCAAGGTCACTCTTGACTATAAATGTGTACTGCATGAAGTTCCATCTCAAAAAATTAAGCCAGGGCCAGCTAGATGGCTCAGTAGGTAAAGGTGCTTGCCACCAAGTCTGACATCCTGAGTTTCAATCCCTAGGATCTACATGGTAGGAGGAGAGGACCAATTCCCAAAGGTGTCCTCTGACTTATACACACGTACCTGTGCACGTGTACACCCACAAACAAATGAAAAATGTAAAAAGATAACAAAAAGAATATTGTGATCCTATTCTACCACTTAAGCAAATGTAAATGTTTCCCTTGCTGGCTTTGGAATGGGCAGCTCTAGACAAGGGGGAGTGTGAAAAAAGTAATTGTGCTGGCTGTGGTGGCATACACCTTTAATCCCAGCACTTGAGAAGTAGCGGCAGGTACAGCTCTGAGATTGAGGCCAGCTTGGTCTACATAGCAAGTTTCAGGCTAGCCAGCGCTATATAATGAAACCCTGTCTCAAAAAAAAAGTAATTGTAATTCACATGATTTACTTTGAGTATCTACTAGGATCCTGTCAACTCAGGGAATCAGTAGCCTTCCTTCATGTGAAGTTAGAATCTAAAGAAGATGTCCCATGGAGAGATTGACCGATCATTTATAGACTTCAGCATAAGCACGGGGACTACTTGTTTTTATTTTCTTTTAAAAATTAGACTCATTTTAGGACTAGAGAGGTGGCTCAGTAGTTAAGAGCACTGACTGCTCTTGCAAGGACCTGGGTTCAGTTCTCAGTACCCAAATGGCAACTAACAACTATCTGTAACTCCAGTTCCAGGGGACCCGATGTCCTGTTCTGGCTTTCATGGGCATTGTATGGCATGGGTGCACTTATATACATGCAAGCAAAATATTCATACACATAAAGAAAAATAATTTTTTTTTAAAGCTTAGCTTCATTAAAACAATTTTACAATGGACTGAATGCAGTAGACTGTTACAGTCAGTCATGGGTGGCTAAGGCAGGAGGATTGCTGAAAGTTTAAGGTCAGCCTTGCTGTCAAGGGATACCCTTTTTTTTTTAATTAATGAAAAAAATTTTTTTTTATGTATATGAGTGTTTTACCTGCATGTATATAGATGCACCTGTGTCCTGCAATGCCCACAGAGGCCAGAAGGTGTCAGATCCCCTGGAACTGGAGTTATGGATGGTTGTTAGTCACCATATGGGTGCTGGGAATCAAATCTGGATTGTCTGCAAGAGCAGCAATTGCTCTTAATTGCTGAGCCATCTTTCCTGCTCTGATCTGAGAAACCTTGTCTTAACCAGCTCCCAACCCCCAGAAGATGTAAACTGTTGCCATACCTGGTTTGATTCTGAGATGAAATAAAGGTTTTTTTTAAAAAAAAATTTATATTATTATTTTAAAATTATGTGAATGTATGTATCTGCACATAAGCCCAATGCCCAAGGAAACCAGAAGAGAGCATCAGATCCCCCTGCAGCTGGAGTTAGAGGTAATTGTGAGACACCTGACAGGGGTGCTAGGAACTGAACTTGGGTCCTCTGCAAGAGTAATACATACTTTTTAACTGCTGAGCCATTTCTTTCTGCAGTCCCAGAAATAGAGGTTTTAATTTCTATAACCATTTGGTTTACTTAGTATCCTAAGAATCTTATCAAACTTAATGGTGTTTTATATTTCCTTCCAGGTCAAAGAGCTGGTGGAAGCAGAGTTATTTGCCCGTTATGACCGTCTTCTCCTCCAGTCTACCTTGGATCTGATGGCAGACGTGGTATATTGCCCCCGTCCATGCTGCCAGCTGCCTGTGATGCAGGAGCCTGGCTGTACCATGGGCATCTGCTCCAGCTGCAATTTTGCCTTCTGTACCTTGTGCAGACTGACTTACCATGGGGTCTCTCCATGTAAAGTAACTGCAGGTATGTTGTAACTATGTGAAGCCAAACCCCCATCCATTACCCTGCTGTCCTAGTTTGTTTCTCCATTGCTGTGACAGAATACTCTGACCAGCACCAACTTGGGGAGGAAAGGGTTATTCAGCTTACATTTCCCTGGGTCACAGTTCATCAGGGAACTTAGGGCAGGAACCTGAAGGCAGGAGCTGGAGCACAGGCCATGGAGGAACGCTGCTTACTGGCTTGCTCCCCGAGCCCCTGCTCAGCTTGCTTCCTTATATAACACAGGCCCACCTGCTCAGAGGTGGCACCACCCACAGTGGGCTGGGCCCCCCTACATCACTCAACAATTAAGAAGATGCCCCACAGATATGGCCACAGACCAGTCCAGTGGAGGCAGTTCACCAATTGAGGCTCCCTCTACCCAGGTGTGTCAAGTTGACACTAACGCTATCCAGCACACCTACACTGAGAGTCCTTATACCTATGGTGTTTGTATTTCTCTCCAAGTCTGATAGAAGTAGAGTTATGTACCAGTTATGATCAGCTTTTTCTCCAGTCTACCTTGGTCCTGATGGCAGCTGTATCATACTAACACATGTTGCTAAATGCCAAATGAAATACTCATTTAGCATTTATTTTTATTTTTGTCAGTTACTATCCTGGGCTCTAGGGATATAATAGCAACTAGAAGAGACAAAATCTGCCTTCATGGAACTTCCAGTCTAGTAGGGGTGACAAGCAAATAAAATGCATAGAGCAGATGGTGGTACGTGCTAAGGAGGAAAAAGAACATAAGGCAGGATAGGGAATGTTTGCAGGGAAGAGGACTTGGGATTTTAGTTAGGAAACCTAGTGTATTAGCTTTCTGTTGATATGATAAAACACTCTGACCTAAGCTAACTTGGGGGAAGAAGGGATTTATTTCATTTTAGAAGTTACAGTCCATCATGAAGGGAAGACGGGGCAGGAGTTCAAGGCAGGAACCTGGAGGCAGAAACTATGGAGGAATGCTGCTGACTGGCTTGCTTCCCTGGTTTGTGCTCAGCCTGCTTTCTTATATAACCAAGGACCACCTGACCAGGGATGGATGGCACCAGTCACTGTGCGCTGGGCCTCCCTGCATCACTTAGTAATCAAGAAAATGCCCCACAGACATAGCCACAGGCCAATTCAATGGAGGAAATTCCTCAGTTGAGGTTCCCTCTTCCCAGGTGTGTCAAATTGAATTGAACCTCTCCAGTACACCTAGGGAGAGCTCAGTGGCAGAACAGTTTTAACTGAAGACTTGAATTGAACATAAACTTGCAGGTGGGAGGGCATTCTAGGAAAAGGAATGAAGGAAACGTCTACCATTGAACATAGAGTAATGGAGACCCCAGATAACAAATGCAGGACGTTCAAACTGCCACTCTTGTTTCCTTGGTACATGTGTCTGATAGTTGTCAAATGATTTCTCATTATGGAGCTTCCGAAGCCACCCCACATTGGAGTGACTACAAGAGATGAAACCCATTTGCCAATTTTAAGCTAGATATGATTGTGAAATCAGGCCTTTTTTGTCTTTTTGTTCTTTGGTGGCCTAATTTTTCTCAAATTAATGGGGATGGTGAGAATAACTACTTCATGGGGTTTTTCAAAAAATGATGAGAACTAAAAGTGCCATGCAAAGTTGTTCAGTTTGTTATACCTGTCCATGTCAAGGTAAGTACAGAGATTTTGAAAGTCAGGGTTAAGAATTTTGTAGCAATTTCATAATAAACTATCAAATCTAATAGAAGTTTAAGTTTGTAGTTATTATTAATTTTTCTAATAACTCATTCAATAGTACTTTGTAAAAGTATTTATTCCTGATTTTTCACCATAGATATCTGAGAAACAATGGGCTAAAATGCATAAAATGCAAAATGGTATCTACTAATGCTATTCTTACAGTTACTAATTGCTAATGTTGACAGAGTGCCTTTATTTACAAGAAAGTATCCTAAGAGGAGTTAGTAGACAATTCTAGTTGGTGGTGCAGAGTCTGATAGCAGGTAAGGGTAGATTACAATTCAAGTTTACTGAAGTACAGTGCTAGCCTTTACTTTTCTAATCCTGTTGTTGAAAGAATATAGTATGTTTTAGGTGTTTCACTGCATTTGGAGAAGTTCAAGATAGGCTTAGGGTTTTAGGAAAAATAGGAAAAAAAAATATATATATGATATGTGTGTGTTTGTGTGTGCATATGAAATAGGAATACTTTTGTCATTTTGAGAATATTGAGTAACAAACCTTTGTCTTTAAGGTATATAGAACACAAAAATACTTTGAATTAGTAGAGGGATGAGAAAGATCTCTTCTACATCAAAATATAGGTAGATGATAGTGCCATGGGAATGCACAATACAGTAAGAACTTACAGATAAAGAGAGGATAATAGACAGGATTCTGCCTCAGAAGCTGGGACAGACCACTAAATAATATGAGGAAAGCAGACTAATAAAACAACAGGAGCAGATTGCTCAGTGAGTAACAGTGTTTCCAGAGGACCTGAATTTGGATCCCGAGCACCCACATTAAAAGCCAGGCATGCCTACACATGCCTGTAACTTCCATCTTTGGGGGGCCTAGACAAGTGGATCCTGAGAGCTCACTAACTAGCCAGCCAAGCCTAAATGGCAAGCTTCTGGTTCAGTGTCTTAAAATAATAAAGTGGAGAGTGGTAAGGAAGACATTAGAGGCCTTCCACTGACTTGCACATGCACAGGCACAGGCTCACACATCTGCAAACTCCCATGCCCCCCCCCCCAAATTAACTAGAACTTAAATGAGAGGTCTTTAATTGTGTTGAAAAATTATTACAGTTGTGAGCAAAACCTTTTGTCTATAGGCAGAGGCTTTGTAAATGTTTGCTGTTCCATTTAAGTGGTAGAGCAGTACAAGCCAGCTAAAGAATATTGAGGGGAAAAGGTGACAGGAAGAACTTTTTTTAATCTTTTTTTTTTTTTTTTTTTTTTTTTTTTTTTTTTTTTTGGCTTGTCTGCATGTGTGAGTGCAAGTGTGCATGCATGTGGAGGCCCAAGTTGAAGGTGAATATATTACTCAGTTGTTGTCTACTTCATTGAGACAGGGTCTCTCTTAGCCCCAAGCTTGTTGATTCTAGCTAATCTAGCTAGCCAGTTTGCTGGGTTACCCAGGATCTGGGTCTCTGCCTCCCAAGTGCTGGGGTTACAGATGGATACCCATAGGGCTTTTAGAGGAGTTCTGGGATCTGAATTTCCATATTCACACTTGTGAGCAAATACTTCACTACATATTTTTTTATTTTCTTTTTTGGTTTTTTTGAGACAGGATGTCACATGCCTTTAGTCCCAGCACTCGGGAGGCAGAGGCAGGTGGATCTCTGTGAGTTTGAGGCCAGCCTGGTCTACATAGTGAGTTCCAGGCTAGCTGGAGCTACAGGGAGACCCTGTCTCAAAAAGATCATATATATTGGGAGGTTCACCTCTTATACAGGCTTCTGACTTCTTTAGAAAACTGAAGAGCCAGCATAGTTGTATATACCTGGGAGGCTCAGGCAGGAGAAGTTGGAGTTTAAAGAACATTTTCTTAAATTTGTTGATTTTTGTGTGTGTGTGTGTGTGTATATATCATACAGAACATCCCAAACCATCTTATTCGACTATATACCCACTTCCCTTATGGCACCCTCCCATAGCCTCCCTCCCCCCACTAGAGCCCTTATACTCTGATATCCGTGCTACTGTTTGCTGTGTTGTTGGCACCCCAGCCAATCCCCACTGCTTGCCCTTCTGGTGAATCTAGTCAGCCTATCTAGAAGTCTTTGTTTTAGGAGGGTCAGCTGTTCCTCTTCTAGCAGCAATCAGTTGTTAATACTGACAGGAAGAACTTTTTAAAAAATTACTATTTATTTGGGCAGAGGTACATACATGTCTTGGTATACATGTGGACAACTTGTGGGAATCTGTTCTCTCCTTCCACCATTTGGGTCCAGGAATTGAACTCGGGTTTTTAGTCAACATTGCAAAGTAACATAGTTATTTTGGTGACAAGTGCCTTTACCCGCTAAGCCATCTCTCAAGCCCCAAGAAGAACTTTTCAGCACCTGTAACAAAACATTGTGTAGGGTGGGGCTGATAATGGTAAATTTTGGTCACTGATTATTTTTATGTATAAAATTGAAGTGCTTTTGCCCTTAAGACTGTAGCGCCTTATGTTCTGGTGAGCCTTGTGAGTTATCAAATGGTAAATGATGTTTACATAGTGGAAAAGCAATGCTCGTTATTTATGTATTTGGGTATGGTACTAGGGATTGAACATGGTATATTGTCTATGCTAGGTAAGCACTCTACCACGGAGCAGCACAGACTTTTTATTCTTTTAGATAAGCCAGTCTTTAATTGTATACTACCAGTTACATAAAACATATCAATAAGAAATGAAAGAAACTAAGAAATTAAAATCAGGGCTAGGCATGGTGGCGTATGCCTTTAATCTCAGCACTCAGGAGGCAGGAGTGGATCTGTGAGTTCAAGGCCAGCCTATCTACATAGTGACTTCCAGGCCAGCTAGGGCTACTGGGAGACCCTATCTCCAAAAATCAAAACAACAAAAAAAAAATCAAAATCCTAGGAAAAACCTCCTGCCCCTTTTAGCAAGTCTTAACCTCTCTAGTTGGGATTCCTTTCCTCCCTTTGTCATCTGTACATCTGAAACTTTTACCTAGTTAGCATATAAGTATACTTTTTTTTCTGGATCCTATAAGTGTTTGGATTGAATAATAATGATCCTAGTTATAAGCTTTTTATGTGTGTTTTGCTTTTTCCACCATATTGAAAGCTTTACTCAATACACAGATCCAAACTACATAAGATTGTTCACAGTTTTGTGCACATATATTTCTTGTTTTATTAGCATATATTAATTATTCATAATGGTTTTATTATGACATTTTCATACATGCATGTAACATATTTTGATCATATTTGTCTCCCATTAACCTCTCTTGCCCCCCCCCACTTCTTCTGATCCCCTTCTAAGTTTTTGATATCTAAATATGCAAAGGATATTCCAAGAAATTATTTCCTGGAAAATTTTGTTTACCATTATTATATACATCTCCATGCAGATGCCTTTACCTTGGATTATTTTCTTCTGATAAAGGCCCAAGAATAGATTATTAAGTAGTTAAAGATTATGGCCATTTTTAATGTTTTTTAGTCACCATTGCAAAGTAACATAGTTATTTTTTTGTATTTCACTTTCTAGAAAAATTAATAGACTTACGAAATGAATATCTACAAGCAGATGAAGCCAATAAAAGATTTTTGGAACAGAGGTATGGTAAGAGGGTGATTCAGAAGGCCCTGGAAGAGATGGAAAGTAAGGAGTGGCTGGAAAAGAACTCAAAGAGCTGCCCTTGCTGTGGGACTCCCATACAGGTGACCATTTGGAGACAGAATAAAAGCACATACATTTGGGACCATGTCACAATTACCATTGATCTGTTGAGGGTTTTGTTTTTGTTTTTGTTTTTTTGAGACAGGGTCTTAGTATGTAGCTCTGGGTGGCCTGGAACTCACTATGTAGCCCAGGCTGACCTCCAACTCACAGATCCACCTTCCTCTGCCTCCCCAGTGCTGGGATTAAAGGTGTTCACCGCCATACCCAGTTTCTTAATTATTGAGAAAACACATTTTAGTACTAATTCAGCTTTCTTAACCTGGAAAATACAATTTCACTACTAAATATTGTTATTGACCTTATGTGTGTAAGCTTCTCTTTTCTAGTGCAGAGACAATTTATTTCATATTCTATCCACCTCAGATCTGAGTGGATTATGCTTTATTCCATTTTCTCTTGCTAATAGCACTGCCACAGACTAGATAAATTACAAAGTTTATTTTGGATCACAGTTCTGGTTCAAAGTGAGGGGCTACAAATGGTGATGGCTTTCTTGCTGACAACTGAAACAGTGCAGCCCATCTTGTGCTGAGAAGTAGTATGCCTCCTCTAGTAGCTGTCTTATAAAGCCATCAGTACCCAATGATGGCGCTTCATCCTGAGTACCTTACCTCATCTTCATCTCCCCAAAGGCCCCACCTCTAAATGCAATAGTCAGATTAAGTTTCCACCTTTTTAATACTTCACAATGGGGATTAAACTCCCAACATGAGTTTTAAAAGGAGCAAACCAGGGCTGGAGAGATGGCTTAGTGGTTAAGAGCACTTGCTGCTCTTGGAAAGGACCTGGGTTCAGTTCCCAGCACTCACATGGTAGCTAACAACTGTTGATAACTCCAGTTCCAGGGAATCCAATACCCTCTTCTAATATCCACGGGCATTGCATGTATGTGGTGCACTAACATAGATGTAGGCAAAACATACACATAAAAAATAAATAAGGCCAGGCGTGGTGATGCATACCTTTAGTCCCAGGACTTGGGAGGCAGAGGCAGATGGATCTCTGTGATTTTTGAGGCCAGCCTGGTCTATATAGTGAGTTCCAGGCCAGCTGAGACTACAGGGAGACCCTATCTCAAAATAATAAATAAATAAATAAATAAATAAATAAATAAATAAATAAATAAATAAATGAGGAAAAAGGAACAAACCATAGCAGGTTAGAAAAAGAACACACCAGAGCTATAATCAACTCATATCTATATGGTTTCCAAGAATTATATCTGGACCTGAGGATGTAGCTTAGTTGGTAGAGTACTTCTTGCCTAGCATGCATGTAGCCCTGGGTTCAGTCCCCAGCACAACATAAAGTAGATGTAGTGGTGCACACCTGTAATTCTAGCACATAGGAGGCGAAGGCATGAGAATCAGAAGTTCAGGGTTATCTTCAGCTACTTAATAAATACGTTCAAAGCTGACCTAGGCTACATGAGACCATCTCAAAATATATCTAACTTCTCAGAACTATTTATCCTATAAAGTAGCACATGTGTTTAGCAAGTATATATGCTCAGGAAGTGGGAGCATTTTCCCTTTATCTGAGTCAAATAGACAAATCTATTTCTTCTCACCAAAGTATTTTTAAAATTAATTTATTTTTAACATTTTAGTTGTTAGCCTTAGCCTTTAATGGCTGCGCTGTCCCTCCAGCCCTCAAAAAAAAAAAAAAAAAAAAAAAAAAAAAGACCAAAAAAAATAGTTAATTTATTTTTATTTGGTGTATATGAGTGTTTTGTCTGCATTTATGTAAAGGCACTCATGTTGTGCAATGCCTGTGGATGTCTGAAGAAGGTGTTGGATTCCCTGAAACTGGAGTTATGCACAGTTGTTAGCCACCATGTGGGTACTGGGAACTGAACCTCAGTCCTTTGCAAGAACAGCCAGTGCTCGTAACTGCTGAACCATCTCTCCAGCCCTCCTCACCAAAATCTTATTTCTTTTGGTCTTTTTGAGGCAGGGTCTCCCTGTAGCCCCAGCTGTCCTGGAACTTACTATGTAGACTAGGCTGGCCTTGAACTCACAGAGATCCACCTGCCTCTGCCTCCCAAATGCTGAGATTAAAGGTGTGTGCCACCATGCCCGGCTCCAAAATCTTAATATGTTTTAAAAGTCACAACATATCCTTCCATTTGATTCTATTTTTCCAGCCCTTTTCATTACATCTGAGTTGAACCTAGTGATGATTCCAGTTACATTATTAAGGAACTAGCATTATATTTGACTGCCTCTGACATGCCAGAGCCCTATGATAGAATGAAGACTTGATGCCACTTATTGAGATTCATGTAGAAATTTAAAACTCAATCCCAGCCTGGTTCTCGAAGTCTATAGTCCCAGCCATTTGGGAAGCTGAAGCAGGAGGGTTGCAAGCTCAGGGCCAGCTTGGCTAACTTAAATCTTGTCTAAAAATAAAAAGTAAAAAGAGGGAGAGGGATGTAGCTTAATGGTAGAGTGGTTGCCCAACATGCAAAAGATCCTAGACTCAGTCCCCAGTACTAGAGAAAAATTTAAACAGGCATTTTAATATTGATCTAAGTACATGTTCCACTCATGCTTCATTGTGTCTGCTGTTTATCAGAAGAGATTTGACTGAATGTCTGGTTGTAGGAACACCTACTAAATATTTCCATAAGTAGTTGTCAGGGTGTTACCTGTGCATCTCAATCCTACTTGAGAAAAGAGAAGAAACCAAGAATGTTGCACTGAATTTTTTTAGGCATTTTTTTAGGCATGTACATTTCTCCTTTGCTTTCACTTACCATCTTGATGTTTTCTCTTTCTATCCTGCCCACCAGAAATTAGATGGCTGTAACAAGATGACATGCACTGGCTGTATGCAGTATTTCTGCTGGATTTGCATGGGTTCTCTTTCCAGAGCAAACCCTTACAAGCACTTCACTGATCCTGATTCTCCATGCTTTAACAGGTTTGTATATACAAGGTTCCCTAGGCTCAGCAGCAATATTTCTAAATTTTAATTTTGTTCTCTCTCTCTCTCTCTCTCTCTCTCTCTCTCTCTCTCTCTCTGTGTGTGTGTTTGTATGTATATGAATATAGGTGCACGTGTGTGTGTACACATGTGCTTAAATCTTTCAAAAAACTAGAACTGGAGTTACAGATATTTGTGGGATGCTGACTTGTTATGTGGGTGTTAGGATCTGAATTCTGGTCCCCATCATTGCTCAGCAAGCATTCTTAGACCATTGAACTATCCTTCCAGCCCCTCTAACCCCTCTACAGCAATTTTTGATACCAATAATCAGACAAAAGTCCAGTTTTTTCTAATAGAACTAGATTTAGAGAATTCTGTTTTCCCGCATAGGACATTTTATATTATTTTCTTGAAAATGAGTTATTTTTAAACTTTTTATCCTATTCACCTTTTTTAAAAAAAGTCTATATGATATAGACTGGCCTTGAACTCTTTAAAAACAATTTTGTTTGTGTGTGTATGTGTGATGCGTGAGTGTGGGTATGCATGTGTACATGTGTGGAAGTCAGAGAACAACTTTCAGGAGTCATTCTCTCCTTCCACTGTGGGTTCTGGGGATCAAACTCAGATCATCAGACTTGTGCAGCGCACACCTCTACCCGCTGGGTCGCTGAGTCATCTTGTCAGCCCTAGTCTTGAACTCTAAATCCTCACATCTCAGCCTCAACCTTTATGGTAAGAGTTTTCAGGCATATAAAACATTGGAAGTATGAAACTACGAAGAGCATGAATAAGCAGTGATACTTTGACGTATTCTCTTTAACATTTTGCTGAACTACTTGAAAATAAATTATAATGCTTCAACTCTATTTCTATATCATGTATCATAAAATTCATCTAGTACTAAGGGTGTAGTTCAGTGGTAGAGTATATGCTTAGCATGTATGGGGCTCTGAGTTCAATTCCAGTCCTCCTCCAAAGAATAAAATATTCCTACATAATAACAGTAATAATACAACATATTTAAAACTTCCAAGTTACTGGGCCAGCTGGCTCAGTGGGTAAAGGTGGTTGCTACTCAAGCTTAGTGGCCTGAGTTAGATCTCTGGAACCTTTGTAAAGATGAACGGAGAGAACCAATTCCACAGAGTTGTCCTCTTACTTCCACGTGTGCCTGGAGGTATTGCCCCCCCCCCCATGAACACACGTAACATTTTTTTAAAACCATCCTAGTTATTATTCAAACTCCCTATTAAAGTAATTTTATTGAGCCAGGATCTATTCAAGTTCAATCATTGTAAATTTCTTAGTACAGAAAAGTTTAGGGCCACTTATTTGTTGAGGGAAAATTGACTTTTTTGAAAAGCAGGCTAGCTGTACTATTATATGACATCTTGCTGTCTAGAGTTTACATTTTTTTAAAACCATCCTAGTTATTATTCAAACTCCCTATTAAAGTAATTTTATTGAGCCAGGATCTATTCAAGTTCAATCATTGTAAATTTCTTAGTACAGAAAAGTTTAGGGCCACTTATTTGTTGAGGGAAAATTGACTTTTTTGAAAAGCAGGCTAGCTGTACTATTATATGACATCTTGCTGTCTAGAGTTTTGCTCCTTCATGATGTCCTTTAACTTGTTTCTCTGTCATCTCTGTTTCTGACAACTGGAAGTTACGTCTGGATTGAAGTTTGATTAACTTTAATGACAATTTTGACAAGAATATTTCATGTGATATGTACTGGATATTGTACACAGCAGGAGAATCATGTCATGCTCTATCCCTTTGTTTAAAATAGAGTTCTCTCTCTTTTTTTTTTTTTTTTTTTTTTTTTTTTTTTTAGCAGGGTCTCCCTGTAGCCCCAGCTGTCCTGGAACTCACTATGTAGACCAGGCTGGCCTTGAACTCGCAGAGATCCGCCTGCCTCTGCCTCCCGGAGTGCTGGGACTACAGGTGTGCACCACCACGCCCGGACTCTATAAAAATAAAAATAGAGTTCTCTTTTAATTCATTGCAAAGATAAGTTTTCCCTTTTGTTATTAGGAAGAAATCTATGAGTTTATTCTTTGACATAATGTGAATAATCTGTTCTTTAGCAACTGTCCAATGTTAGCATCAGTTGGTGTTCTCTACATAGAGTTCTGTAGAGAACTTACACTCATCAGTGTTACAAAAGTAGAAGAGAATTGAAGAAATAAGCCCTTCCTGTGACCTATTGGAAGTCTATTGTAGGAAATCGCATAAACTTTTAGACAAATGGGCCACTGCAAGAAGACATTACACCAACACGGGACGCAAGAACTTGGGAGAGAACGGGAAGATTAACAGATGACAAGGTTTTCTTCAGAGTTCAGTTTCTTCTAGACTGCCTGACCTCCCACTCTTGGCTTATTCACAGATTGTGTACATGAAGTATCCATTTTGTGAAGCTTATCCCTCATATTTTACAAGTAAAAGTAAAAGGGATAGGACTGGAGTGGAGTGGAGTGGCTGCTAGCACGCAGGAGGCCCTAGATTCAACCCCAGTACTGCTCTGCCTAACTCCGTCAGCTTATTGAGGGGGACCCAGATCTCAGCCCTCCTTAATGGGATGGTTAAAGGAGAAGAAAATATATGCAGAGATACCAAAGAATACAAGCAGTGTTTTTGAGAGGAGGAAAGATAGACTGCTTAATTTTGTTCACCTGCATAAATATGTACCTTATGCTTTCAGATTGTTCCATGCTGTGGACGTTAATGGAGATGTTTGGGAAGATGAGATTGAAGACTAGTTAATTCCGTCTGCTCACAATATAGAAATGGAGTGGTTTGCCCTAATCTTCTGTCAAGTACACAAAGAAACCTTGCAAGATATTGAGGGCACCATGCATTCACTCTTCCTGTGTAGAAGACAAGGAAGAACAAGGTTCATATTTTATTTGGTACTACTGATTAAGGCACATTCATACATTTTTTTTTCCTTGTAACACAAACTGATAAAATTATATGCCAAAGGTTCAGAAAATGAAAACTAGGATATTAAAAATATGCCCCAAACTGTGGATAGTTAAAAAGTAAATACTTATTTTTGTCCCCAAACTTTAGGTAAAGATAAAGGTCAAGAGTTAAACTTGCAGACCCATGTCCAAGAAGTATCCTCTGAGACATTGTGTTGGAGGCCAGTTCTGTTCCTTACAGCATGGACGGTCAGACCTCATTCAGATTGTCCCAAGAGCCTCATTTCATTCACTGTGTATTGCTTTCTTTCCTTCCAGCTGAATTCCTTCCACCCGAATTCTCTTTGGAGGGAGCCTTCAGTAACTGACTGGATGGCCCAGTATCATTTTGATTTACTGCTTTTCAGAAGAGAAATTTGTAATAAGTTAAAAAATATTTTTAATACCACAAGCCCTGTGGGTCACTTGATATTTATGAGTGTTCTATATAAGCCACTGATTTTGAGCCAAATCCAGACTTTAATGATTCTGGCTCAGAAGAATTCCTCCATCCTGTTTTCTTGGGGACTAGAATTTAAATTCTGATCTTTTCTCCCTTTTGTTCTACACTTTCTCTCTTTGCCCTCCCCACCTTCTGTTGGCAAGGACAATTTTAATATTAATTCCAGCAGCACATGTTTTCATTTCCTCTGCTGGAATAGGAAAAAGCCTAATATATTCCTAAAATGAATGTTCTTTGAACCTATGTCAGTACATAGTTCTAGTCCTAACGTTCTGAATTTCTTCTAAAGGTCTTCTTTAATTATCTATACGAATTTGGCTTCTGACCCTTTTTTCAAAACAGCAGTGTTTGGGGTGATAATTTTAACTTGATAGGTAGATTCCTATTTCTGAGTTTTGTTGACTTTTTAGAAAATTGTCTTTCCTCATGGTTTGGCATGTGGCTTGGTAGCCACTTGGTAGATATTTTTGAAAAAAAAGGACAAGTCATGCATGGTGGCGTATACAGAGGCAGGCAGATCTCTGAGTTCAAGGCCAGCCTGGTCTACATAGTAAGTTCTAGGCCAGCTGGGGCTACAAGGAGACCCTGTCTCAAAAAGACCAAAAAGAAAAAAAGATAGAAATTCAACTGCAACTTGTGAACATTGGTTTTTGTTTTTTTTTTCTACCTTGACATTGAATATTAAGGAATCACTTTAAACTATCAGCTAGAACTGTTTCTGGATTGTCAATGAGGATGCTTAATCTTAAAAATAAAAATCATTCTACAGTTAAAACAGAATCGCTCCTGTTTGTTCCATAACTTTTGTTGTTGTTGTTGTTGTTGTTTTTGGTTGGTTGTTTTTTTTTTTATTGGCTTTGGGAGGGTGTTTTTGTTTTGTTTGTCTGTTGGAGTGTTGTTTGTTTCTTTTTTGGTTCTGGGGAATGAGCCCAAGACCTCAAACATGCTGAGCATGAGTGAATCTACCTCTGAGTGACACCCCCAGCCACATAAACATATAGTTTTAAATTGTTTTAATTTTATGTATGAGTAGTATTGCCTGCATGTGTATAAATGCACCTGTGTCCTTCAATGCCTACAGATATCAGAAAAAGGTGTCGGATCCCCCTAGAACTAGAGTTTGTTAGCTGGCTTGTGGGTGTTGGGAATCAAACCCAGGTCCTCTGCAAGAGCAGTGTTCTTAACCACTGAGCTCTCTCTCCAGCCTCACATAAACATATTTTTAAAGTTAGGAAAAAAAAGTTCAGACCAGCACCTCCTTCTGCACTTGGGCCTGTGCCTAGGATTTAGGGCTCATATTTTGTTTAAACATGTTCATTTCATGAACTTCCATTCAGCACATTTCATATAATGACTGAATTTGACTGAATTTAAAAAGTAAGTTGAGCTGGGGGTGGTAGTGCACGCCTTTAATCCCAGCACTTGGGAGGCAGAGGCAGGCAGATCTCTGTGAGTTCGAGCCAGCCTGGTCTACAGAGTGAGTTCCAGGCAGCTAGAGCTACAGGGAGACCCTGTCTCAAAAAAAAAAAAAAAAAAACAACAAAAAGTAAGTTGAAGATAAGAAATGGAAATCAAAGTGACTATTGAGTAAACCCCTGTGAAGAGTAGCATCTGTTGAAGACTAGGAATTCAGGTTGGATTTTTCAGAGTAGCCACTAAGAAGCTCCAGTTCATGAGTTAGTTGATAGATGCTAAAGGTCACACTATATTAGCTACTGTGCATTATGTTGATGATATCCTAGAAATAGGAAATAAATCGGAGAGCACCCCCATGTGTGATTTTTTTAAAATCCCAACAAAGTTTTAAGTCTCAGATTTCTTTACTCATCCGAGTCTTTCTTCCTTGGGTACAAATCTTTATATTCAATTATAATACAATTGAGGTTTTTTTGATTTTGTTTTTTGTTGTTTGTTTTTAATAAGACAGGGTCTTATTAAAGCTAGCCTGGAACTCAATATGTAGACCAGGCTGACCTTGATCTCACAGGGATCTGCCTGCCTCTATCTCCTGAATGCTGGGTTTAAAGGTGTGTGCCACCTTGTCTAGCTAAACCATTACTTTTGAAGTATGAGTTACCAGCTAATTTTTAGGTGGTGTGATTTTTTTGGTAGAATTCTTTTTATTGCTGAATGGGATAAAAGATTTGGGTAACTCCCTGATTGCTCTGTGAAATTAAGTTTGTAGACAGTTGCTATGTCAAGAAAATGACTGATAGAAGAGGTTTGTCCCCTATTTTATATGAAGTCTGACTGAGATTTGCCATAAATTGATGTGAACCTTGGGGGTCCTTTGAGTGTGAGTTTGAAAAGCCTGTATCTCTTGATAAAAGACTGGTGAGTCTACAGCTGATAAATGAAGATAAGCTTCTAAATAACTTTAAATTTTTATTTTTATGTATATGAGTTTTGCCTGAATGTATATAAGTGCACCATGTATGTGCAATGCCTGCAGTGGCCATAAAAGGGCATTGGAACTCCTGGAACTGGACTTATGGGCAGTTGTTAAGTCACCATATGGATGCTGGGAACTGTACCCTGTCTTCTGCAAGAGGAGCCAGTGCTCTTAACCACTGAGGTCCCCAAAGAACTTTATTTTCTTAAAAGAGAGGCCCTGTGACTTTCTGTGATTTTTGGCCTGCTTGTGTCAATTAATATGCATCTTATTTCATATATTTTTTTAAAGAAACGATTGTAGAATAGTTTCAGATTTATAGAAAAACTGCAAAGAAGCAAGACCTGATGATGCATGCTGTAATCTCAGGGAGATAGAAGCAGGAGGATCAAGAGTTCAAGGCCAGCCTCAGCTGCATAGTAAGTTCCAAGCCAGCCTGGGCTACATGAGATCCTGTTTAAAAAAACAGGTGGAAATCAACCCCCAAACTGCAGAGATAGTGCACAGTCCCTCTGTATTCCACACACAGTTTTGCATTATTACTACCCTGCATTAGTAATGTGTGTCACATCAATGAACCAACACTGTTGTTAACTGCAGCCTGTATCTTGCATGGATTTTCTTAGCTTTTTCCTTGTGTCTGTTTTCTATTCCAGGATCTCATCCAGGATATCACATTATTACTTTTAGTTATCCTGTTTCCTTAGATTCCTCTAGCCTATCACAATTTCCCCATCTAGTTTTATTGTTAATGTTATAAATATCTATTATATCTTTTTAAAAAATATTTTTTTTATTATTGTTATTTTTGTGTGTGCATGTATTGCCTGCATATAGGTAAGTGCACTGATATCATGCAATGTCCGTGGAGGTCAGAAGAGGCTGTCGGATCCCGTGGGACTGGAGTTACTGATAGTTGTTAGCTGCCATGTGGGTGGTGGGAATCAAACCCGGGTCTTCTGCAAGAGCAGTCAGTACTCTAAACTGCTGAGCCATCTCTCCAGTCCCAACATTAAAAATTCTTAATATAACTGTTTTTGTCAAGAATCAGTCATGGGGCTGGAGAGATGGCTTAGACATTAAGAGCACTGGCTGTTCTTGCAGAGGACCTGGGTTTGTATCCCAGCACCCACATGGCGGCTAACAACCATCCATAACTCCAGTTCCAGGGGAATCCAGCACCCTCTTCTGATCTCCACGGGCATTGCACTTACATACATGCAGGTAATACACTCATACACAAAAATAAAAATAATAAGTAAATTTTTTTTTTTAAAAAGTCAGTCATTGGTTAATCAGGTAAGAATCCTAATGTTTTTCGTGTGTCTACCTGCTTTGAAAAGGAGTATCAAAAATTTGACTGGGATTTGGAGGTCTCAAATTTTGTCATGAGCACCTCCAGCAGGTGGCAGCAGTTCCCATGTTATTAAAGATAGAGGCACTGGCCTTAATCTGACCTGGGTTTGAGCCAGCAGCTATTCAGGAGGATGACTTGAACCCAGGTGTTCCATCTGTTCCAGTCTGGGTGATATAGCAAGACTGTCTCAAGAAACAGACAAAAAATACAGTAACTGGCCTGGCATGGTGGCACATGCCTTTAATCCCAGCACTTGGGAGGCAGAAGCAGGTGGATCTCTGTGAACTCCATAGGGAGTTCCAGGCCAGCTGGAACTACAGGGAGACCCTGTCTCAAAAATAAAATAAAATACAGTAAGCTATCGAGCCAGGGGTAACATTTTTTGTTGCAGAAGCAGATTTAATTTCTAGGATTTTAATTTTCCTTTTTGGTAGACAGAATGTGATGATAACAGCAAGGCAGAAATAGCAGTATTGCAGAAAACTTTTGAGGCCATTTAAAAATATACTTGATCTATAGTTGTTATGTGATTGCTATGAAGCAAAGTGACATACCTGACAGTTACATTTATCCAGTCATTGACATAAAGCCATTAAGTTATATCTTAAACTTTTAAATAGGACAGAGAGACACTGCAGTGGCTACCGATACTGGTGCCTAAACTTTGGCTTGATGAAAATCGACTAGCAGACTAGGCTGAGAGTTTGTGGTAAGAAAGCTGGTTAATGGGCTGGAGAGGTGGTTCAGTAGTTAAGAGCACCGGGGCTGCTCTTGGAGAGGACCCGTTTCAGTTCCCAGTACCCACATAGCATAAGAACCATCTGTAACTCCAGTTCCAGGGGATCTAATGTCCTCTTCTGGCCTCCACAAGCACTGCACGACACAGGTGCATTTACATATAGGCAAAACACTCATACACATAAAAGAAAAATAAACAGAACGAAATGTAGCAAAGAGAAATGCAGTAGTAAAAGTAGGATCGGAGGTGCGGCCCGCTGGGAGCGGGGGCGCTGGGGAGCTGGGGACGCTGCACCCCGCTTTGCGATTGCAGGGGACCACAGTCCATCAAAGCAGCCGAGGGAGGAGATGCTGAGGACCCGCCCCACCCGGTCCACGTTCTCAGGAAACTGGACAGCACTGAGCAAAGGCTGGAGCCAGCCCCAAACCCCTGAACGTCGAATCAGGGACGTCTCGGGAGCATCTCCCACCCTCACTCCCCGCCGCCCGCCCTCCGCGCAGCCGCGAGCGAGACGGTCATCTGCTCCAGCCAGGCTACTGTAATGCTTTACGATGATGGCAGCAAGCGATGGCTCCCTTCTGGCTGGCACAGGTCCCCAGACCTTAAGCCGCACTCGGATTTACCACAACCCGCGGCCAACTCCTTCCCTGTGGTTGCAAGCTGCAGCCACACCAGCAGGTGGTCATCAACTGCACCATTGACTGGGGTGTCAAGTATAATCAGGCCGCCCCCATCTTCCATCAGTGGTGTGATGCCAGCCAGGTCTGGAGCCTCAACTTCAGCAGCAGAGAGGATACTGCTGCCCAGTTTGCAGCCGGCATGGTCAGAGCCTTGGACGCCTTGGAAGGTGGCCGGCCGCCCACAATCCCACCACCCCCTGCCTGGTCAGCCCAGAATGGCCCCTCTTCAGAGGAGTTAGAGCAGCAAAAAAAGGCAGCAGCCCAGCCAGCCAGAGCACATGGAGCGCAGGGTGTCTAATGCAGGAGACCCACCTGCTTCCCCAGTTGGGGGTCCACCCCTTCTACAGGGTCCCCCCTCCTCCGGGTCCCCCTCCACCCCAAGGTCTGCCCCTCCTCAGGGGTCTCAGATGCAGGAC